CAGGGACTTTTTGTGAAAAATTTGTGGAATGATTTGTATGGTTAAGATATATCTGTAAGGGATAGTAGAGAATTTGATGTATTGTATGGATAGTTTCTGCAAAAAGAACAAAGGCTCAAGTTAGAATAGAGACTAAGCAGCTTTTACATTTCCTGTGGCTATAACACATAATATGTACATTATTAATAAATACCCCAGCAGCATAATCAACGACAGCAATGTTTCAATTTCTCTATTGTCTCATATTTAAATGTCAACATTGATGGTTTTTCCAAATAAATTAATATGATAAGAAAAATGAAAATTGGATTTGCCAATGCAAATCAACACATAACTGAAAGATAGCACAGTTGTTCCTGTGCATTGCATACAGTATTTCAAAATAAATACAGATGAATCCAACATTATCGCAAGTAGGCACAATATGAGCTGAATGTTATAGGTTTTACACAGGGTCTTTGTCTAGACATCGCCTCAGATCAGGTGATGAAGCAGGACCCACCTTTAGGCCCTTACCATATCACTCGATAATATACATATTCCCATATCCCCAAATACAGCAAAACAAATTACCACAAACAAATTAACAGTCAATTTAAGGCTTTGGTGGGTTTGTGAGATCAAGGGCCCAAGGACAGTTTCATATTTTACAGTCACTCCTCTCTAAACCATGTGTGAACAGCATATCAATGGGCTACTACTATACACTACAAACACTTTGTACTATTTAGTAGTCGACACCAAACTAATTCGATAGACTGTAATTAATGGCGAATAACAGTGAAAAAATGAATAATGATTTGAAATGTGTAGGTTCAGGTACATACACATGGAATGTAATGAATCTTAAATAAATATAATCTGTCTGAAAATATCTGTTTGCACAAATTCATTCCAATACTATTCTAGACACTTTTCACAGGCATTTGTGTTTTCTCTATTTCTGTCTTTCCTTCACTGGCTCTGGCCATTTAACATTTAACCCAATGTGCAATGTTATTCAAAATTTTACATGACAGGCTTAGTGGATCACAATTTATCAGAGTCATATATACCCAGTAAAGGTATTCATGGGTCCAGTTGGCTCTTAGTAACCAGCTTACAATTCAATAGGCACATATCGCAGGTCTGTATGATAAATGTCCTGTCCTAATCTGGTTTGTCAGATATAAATTAATTTTGATAAATTTAAATGTATTAGTGCACACTGAGCTCAGGCACGTTTCTCCCCTGGTCTAAAAGGTCTAAAATTCTGGACTAGTGCTGTGTTTTCTAGTCATGAACATACACATTTCCACTTAACAATAGGAACTGCTGTTGAGAGCAAAGTGAGGCAGTATGACTATATTGGTTAGCAGAGCACTGCTAAATCAGGAATGAACGATGAAGAGGAGCAAGAAACAGAAACATATAGCAGTTTCTGCAAATTCTCAAATCATCCTTTACCACTTGCTGTATGCACTGGTTTACTGTTTATATACTGTATCTGGCACCAAGTTACACTGTGTGTATCATATGCAATGTTATTTACATGCTTTTTGAAGTAATGTTGCTTAGCGTAGAAGTTCGGGAGGCATAACACAGGGGCAATTATCAGTAGGCTGCATCCTTACCAATAAAGACCATCTGCTACAATGAAGCCACTTGATAACACTAGGTAACCAATTGTTATTCTCCATCATTAAGTCTTGAAGGGTTTGTTGATGACTCTGTCAATCCATCTCAGGAACCTACTAACACGAGTGTACACCCCAGGGAAGGAAGGATTACCACAGCCGTGGCCCCAGGAGATGACACCTGTTAGCACCCAACGGCCTCCCTCCCCCTGGCAAACCAGAGGACCCCCACTGTCACCCTGGCAACTGTCCACACGATGGCGCTCTGACAGGCTCCCAGCACACAGCATTCGGCTGGTAAAGCGATCACCATATCGCTTCTTACACTTCCACGCTGGAAGCATGGGTACCCAAGCCTGGAGCAGGGTCCGGGAGTAGTCTGAGTCTGAAAATAGGAAGCAGATAGAAGTTTACTATCAAGGCTGTTACTTATATGCACACCTTTTAAGTTAAACATTAAGTTTAAGTTCTTTTTTATGTTTTATTATGAAGAACACACTTTCCTGATTATGACCATTTGTTTTGAACTGTTTAAAATCAATTTGCTGTTGGAAATCAGTATATTAATGAATATGAATGAATATTTCTAGATGACATGGTTGGTAAGACCTATTCTATCTGTTTGTACTGGATGAATATAATAAAGTGTTCATTAAGCTGTTCATCTGACCCTGGGCTTTACTGTAAGAAATATAAGTATTAGTTAACATATTTTTTGTTGCTCTATGATGAAATCCTCATGAAAGACTAATAGATGGAAAGTCACTCTATGGATGCACTTACCTGTGATGCCCCACCCCGTGATCACACAGGCAGCAGGCCTCTTCTCCCACTTGTTACCTGGCTCTGGCAGACACACTGCACTAGTGTGAGGGTTGAATGCCACACAGTTGCCCTCTGTGCCTTTGAGCCTCAGCAGGGCAATGTCATACTCCCAGTCCTGACTGTGATACTTTCTGTGGATGACAATGCGTTCAGGGGACAAGGTCCGTTCAAAGTCATCCTGTTCCTCAGTGTGGTAGTCACCCAAGCGTAACACGTAGCGGGTTGGATCTTTGCCAAATCTGAAGGGGCAAAGAAAAAATGTATTGTCAATGAATATCCATCATTTAATGTACAATACTAGAATATAGGCATAAACCATAAACGGATTTACTACAGAGACATGCTCCCTCCCCAGCTTGACTGTGACTACTGGTCAGGTGAAGAGAGAGTGCAATTTACATTATATATACAGTATAATGTACATTCACCTGACACATTGCACTCAGTAATTCAATAAAAACCTGAATTTGACTTTTCACACTTGGTCTTACATGAAAGTTACCTGGAAAACATCAACTTTATGAATGAGTTCTAATAAATGTCATGTTGAAATTCTAATTTCAAAACTTTACAAACATTACATTTTGTACGTATTGATGGAAAAGGACTGTTTTCAGCTCTGTAATGTTTCCATCTTTCAGTAGAGGGAGCTGTCTCCTACCTCTTGAAGCAGTGGGCCGCAGTCACCACCCAGCAGGCGTTGATGAGTGATGCTCCACACAGGGGGTGATTACCTTTAGACTGAGACCGTAGCCACAGAGATACCTGCCATGGCCATTCACCCCTGAAATCACATACACACAAAACAAAGTTTGTCTGTTATAAGAGTTAATACTGACTGATGACACATATGAGACATAGAAGACATTCAATCTGATTCACTCATATTTGTAAATAATTGTGGATCTATGTGCATGCCACTGGAGTGTGTGCTAACCTCAGTGCCTTATCTCCTCCTATGATTCTGCGTCGACGACGCTGATTATTGAGTCTCAGGCCACAGGTTTGTATTGCCTCAGCACCATCTCCCACAGGATCCAAGGTGTAGTCACAAATGACGCCTGCATCCTCACTGTGGCGACAGTCATGGCTATCTTGACCCACAGCTGTACACTGCTCTAAGGAAGTTTCAGTGCCAGAGCATCGAACATTATCCAGATGGATAGGACCTTGACCCTCACCAAAGTATGCCATGGATCGCGCCTTAGTTTTGCCCCTGACAACACACAAAGACAAACAGTATCATTATTATTTGTTTCTTTTTGTTTAATAAATACATTTTTTTAAATCCTGTGCGTGTATTTTATTTTGTCTGCTGTGACTGTACAAACCAGGGTGGTTTCTGGACATTTTGTTGTTTTTGTACTCTGGCTGGGGTGTTATTGATGAGACTAAAATAGTATAACTTTCCTAGGCAAGATATAAGTGTTCATACTAACGTGAATCCTAGCTGTCTGCAAACAACAGCTGCACTGACATCATTCCAGTCATCATCACACACGCTTCCCCACTGGTTATTAAGGAAGACCTCCACTCTACCCTCCTTCCTGCTCTCTCCACCAACCAAACGCACCAGTGGACCTGAAATCAAACATTACAGGAAAAATGCGACACTACTGCCATGAGATTTTCAGATGCTTGCAGGTCTTGTCTTAGTGTGAATTGTACTTCATCAGGGAATATACAAATATCATATGCGAGTAGCTATGCGTGCACTTACCACCAGGAGGCAATGTGCCAGGTATGTCATTGGCATCACCCCCTATTTCACAGCACACCCCTACATCTTCACTGTGGGAGCAGTCATGCTGGCCCAACTCAGAGTGGGTACATGCCAGTAAAGTTGCCTCTGATCCCTGACACCGCACATCGTCCAGCAGGATCAGCCCGTGACCTTCTTCATACACCTCGTCAGGGGCCACTTCCCCTGGGCCCCTGCAGACATGAACATATTAATATTCATATTGGTGGTGAAGAACCACTGAAAACCAGTTTTGAACTTTGATGGAAACCCTGCAGCATTACTGTTTTACAGGCTCGGTGCATAAAGTAGGTGGCTATGTAACAAAATTAGTGATTTTTAAAATCATTTGTGTTAAGCTACACTCATGGGTCACAATTTGATCTATGTTCCTCATCATAGGTTCATTCAGGAATACTGTCTTTATGACCCATTCATTCATCATTGTCTGTCTGCCTTTTCCAATGAGCTGACTATGGATGTTTATGGTAATCCAATCAGATTTGCCACAATCTCACTCAGCCAATCAGGGTCCATAATGTCAAATATAAAATCTGTTCTCCCCTCTCTCACTGTGATCAATCATTTCAGTGATTTGTTGTGATCCTCCTCCTCCCCAGTCACCATCGGTCTCCATATCCAGCAGCCATTTTTGAGCCCAAAAGAATCCACACATCTCATTCAGATCCTCTGCATTCTCTGCATCCCATCAACCATCACCAGTTTTTATAACCTGGGGGGCGTTCCAAAACTGTTCACAGCCTCACCCCCTTTCAATAACGACATCATGAGGTGACTAAGTGCCAAATAGACCCTCATTTATATCACATCAATTTCTTCTTTTTGTGCAGGGCAATTATTATTTTGTAAATGTTTCAACTGAAGTCCCTCCAGATTGATTTTGAGCAGACATTACATTCTCTCGCAGGGTTTATTACATAAAATCTCAGACATCCTGAAAGTTTAGTAAGTGGGAAGCAGAAAAGACAAGAATCCTGTGCAGACTATAACGGTTTATACGACAGTAAATCCCATGTACTAGAGTGTTGAGAACTTTTTGACTATCCTCACACATAACTGTATATGCCACTATATAATGTGTTATGTATATAATGTATGTTACACCATATCTGTACAGGAGAATAGTGCCTGTCTAATTCCACTCACTTCTCTCTCTAAGCAGTGCCAAAGGTCAGGTTTATAGATAAAGGATCAACCAACAGTGTATTCTAGTGTCTATGCTTAGAGACTTTCATATCTAACTCGGATGCCCCAGACAAAGAGGCACCAACTTCAACTCTCATCAACTTGAACTCTTTTGTGTATTTCACCAGTGGCAAGACGTAACACAATGTGGTTTAGGAATACATTTAGACTTAAATATCCAACAGGACCTACATGTAACATAGAGTGACAGCAGTTCCAGCCATTCATTAATGTGCTGTTAGAATTGGTGACGCAAGTAGAGGGAGATATATAGGCACGCTGTAGGAGACATCTTGTTACTCCAAATGGTTTGTATTTATATATAAAGCTTTTCTAGTCTTGACCACCCAAAGCTGTTTGCAGTACAGTTTTGCCATTCACCCATTCACACACACATTCATACAGTGCATCTATTAGCAGCACCTTTTGTTTTTATGAGGGGCAATTCGGGGTTCAGCATCTTGCCCAAGGACATTTCAGCATGCAGATGGGGAAGACTGGGGATCGAACTGCCGACCTCAGCCACAGCCGCCCACTTTGTTAGTGTTTGTATATTGTTCCACCTTCTGGTCTTCGTGATGCATCAAGTATAAGTTTAAAATCTTCTGCATAAGACAGCTGCTGCCTGAGTTCTCCTGTCACCAGTTTCCAGGAAACTTCCATAATATAGATTATATTGGATTTTGTGGCTGGGAGAACTCCAATGCTGTCACCAGAACCAAGATACTGAGAAGAAAATATTCAGTCATTTTGAATTAAGGCAAAAACATGTTGTGACTCAGGACATATTGATGCACTGACCTGAAGCCCAGCTGTCTACACACTACATGGGCGTTGAGCTCGCTCCAGTTGTCATCACATACAGAGCCCCATACTCCCTGATGGTAAATCTCCACACGACCCTTCCAGTGTTTGTCTCCTCCCACCAGTCGGACTGCACCATCTGCAACCACACAGGTTAACAAACAGTAATAAACAAACAGCAAAAAGTGCATGCATGGCCCAACACAGACTGGTTGAGTCCTCAGGTAATTTTTGAGGACAGAAGAATACAAATGAAGACAGATGATTTGAAAGAGTAATGGAGGTCTCAGGTCAGCCATGTCATACTGTACAAACACACATGCAATTGGCTGCACAATGCTAGATGCGGATGTAATGAATGCACAGCAAGTCAAACTGCCTTTGACTTAGCATGCCTAGATATCACAGCGACACTGGTTCTTAAAGGATGTCTGCAAAAATAACTAAAGTTCTTTATCACATTGGTTTAAGTATAGGTCAGTTAATTCCCACAGTTATGACTACAGTGTTGTCTTATATGAATGTGTGAGTTAGTGTGTTTTGCTGGCTCTGACCTGTGTATGGGTTGCAGGTCACCCCTGCAACTTCCATGTGGTCACAGTTTTGTTGCTCCCAGTTGTGAGGACACTCCTCCAGAGAAAGTTCATTACCTGTGCACTGGACCTCACTGAGCAAGACGGGCTCAAACTTCTGGTCAAAGTGGGGCAATGTCCGTGCTTTGGCCACACCACTTTATGTCAGGACAAAAAAACCAATTTTATTTATCAAACATGACAATTAATGCTATTTGTGCCAACATATATAACACATATAAAGATTTTCAATATTATAATATCCTGGTGGACCTATAGTTTGTATAGTGTGTATATTGAAAAAAATCTATCAAAGAACATTTGAATGACATAATGAATGATTACTGCTTGGTTTGGTAGTTTAAAAAGTAAATATTTCACCCTCTTAGATTTGGGTGTTTGAAAGAGGAAACAGGATTTAGGATGAAATCATTTTCTGGGAATACACCTCACAATCGCTTGAGGTGATGGTTCATGTCAGTCACATTCATTTATTTTTTAATGCCGGACAATGTCAAAGAAAGTAATGACGTAAAACCAACTTCAAAATCCACATGACCTCCACTTGACATTCACTGAATATATGTAGACTTGTTTTAAACATTCTGTGTGCGATAGAAAGACTGAAATATCCCAGAACTTTAAGTGATCTGCAGGAAGAGTAGAGCATCAAAATGTTTCCCATCTCACAGTACATAAAATGGACTCTTCTGCATAACGACTACTACTTTTAATATCCCAGTAATTGCTCATATAGTCATTCTGTTTTACCTAAGTACAATTTTGAGTGGACAAATGCTTTGCTTATAATAAAGCTCAACACTCTATATGTAGTATATTATTGTGGTAACCTGGTGGGCTAACAAGAACCCCTGCCAGATAAAGAAAATACTCAGTGACTGAATAACCATTGCTTTCCTAAAGAGCTGAATGTCAGACACTACTTTTTGAAATCCAGTATTAATCTGGCCTTTAATTCCAATTACCTATCTGATTTGTATGGCCATATTTTATAACAAAGCCTTGTGTCCTTTTTTTAACGTATATCGCAAAACAGATATACCAATATGTCTGTAATATATCAGGTTCTTTTTTAGATTTACACACTGAAAGCGATTAGAGAAGATGCCAGGAGTTTGATCTGATATTTTTTGTGTAGCAGTTGAACAGCAGTTATTTCTTACCCCATGTTCAACTGTCTGCACACCACCTCAGCATCAGGGTCATCCCAATGGTGATCACAAATAGTTCCCCATATGCCATCATGATACACTTCGACACGGCCCTCATAGTCCTCCAGGCCTCCAACCAGCCTCAAATGGATGCCAGTTCCTGAGAAACAAAGGGTATAATATTAACCAAGCTATATGAAACACATGTTTAAATATGGTGTTGTTTATGGAAGGATTTTAGTGCCTGAGTCCCTGGCATGTATTTGTCTTTGCATTTTAGTCTGCTACAGCACTGTGGAGTGGTTTGAGGCACCTGTTGTGATGTTTTGCTTCTTGTCAATTACACAGTCCATCAGGGTACAACCTGATAACAGGCGCACCGAAGAGAACTGTCATGTTTTAAAGGCAAAAGGTGGTCACAGCAAATAATGATCTGGTTTGAATTTATTATAAGAAAAATCCTAGTTGTCTGTCCTCATATCTGTTTAGAAGTGTGTGCATGATGTACGATGATGACAACAGTGAGTTCTCAGCAGTGAACTGTTAAGATGTGCTGCTGTACTGGAATATGTTAACTCTTGAAACAAAATCCTAGTACTATGTTTGCATACGGCAAACAAAGCAATTACTGTACATGCCATGTGACGTGTTCATATTAGTTTATAGAGTCTGGGACAGTAGTCTCACCCTCAGGTTCAGCACAGACCACCCCTGCCTCACTGCCACGTGTGCAGTCACTGGTGCCAAACTTCCTGCTCCGGCACTCCAGTAGGGAATTCTCATTACCACGGCAACCCAGACGCTCATAATGGAAAACCGATCCTGGACCAAAGTAGGAGTCCTGCAGGGCTGTACCAATTTCACTGCATGAACAGCAAGCACACAGAGATGCTTCTTTTAAACACACTGCCAGGCTTCTACCAGAGCAAACATCATGATGAAACACCAATGAAAGATGACAACAAATTGCAATGAAAAATATAAAAAGCACTCGTATCTCACTGACAGGAATAACTAGTAACTTTTATAATCTCAAAGTTACAGCCTATTGGTGTTGCAATTGGAATGCAAATTTCATGAACATCTAACAAATGAGAGTCAATATTATAAATTAAAAATGTATTTATACACAAATCCTATCAGCACAAACACACACTGTGCCAGCGCCCGCCTCATCCCAAGATTGGGCTGGTTTTGGTGTGGACAAAAACTATTCAATTATTTGTGTCTTATTTGTTCTCCTATATTAGTTAGAAGCAGGTAGCCTATACTGTATTGAGTGGCTCTATGCTTTGCCTCTGCAGCTACACCTCACTGATGTCACAGACTGGTAATGAGAGGGATTCAGGGTTCTATTCTGTTTGGGACATGGAGAAAATATAGTTCTATGTGATGTACTCAATTATAGGCTGATCTTGTGCTTATATCTATTTATGTCTATAGCTGTCCGACAAACATAGAGGAGTCAAATGTAAGCCTACAATCTTTCCATTTGAAAGTAGAAACCAAAGAAACCGATTACAAGTAGCTCAAAAGTATATCTGTATTCAAGTACTAGTATTGTACGCAGTTACATTTTAAAAGATTAGTTTGTGGAACTTGGTCAGATCAGTAACTAATACCCTAATATTTAGTGCTAGGTCAATGAGAAAAGTTGTCTGCAACCTACCACAACATTTTAAATAACAACCTGTCTGGACAAAAAACAAACAACAAGGCACCCACATGAACATATGTTTACAAGAGTATTTCAAAAGCTTGCAAAACAACCCAATCGCAAAGGAGAGACAGAAGCCTGTCAGGCTCACTGAGACTGCCCTCACCCTCTTTATATACAGTCTATGCCCTCACCCCAGTCCCAGCTGTCTGCATATGACACTGGCATCATGGTTGGTCCAATGTGTGTCACATACTGCCCCCCACTGGCCATTCAGGTAGACCTCCAAACGCCCATTGTTGCTTGATGATCCCCCGACCAATCTGGCTGCACCTGTAGATAACACAGGACAAATCTCTGCATGTAACCCTGTTTCAAAACAGAGATAAAATCATAGTAAAGATACTATTTTATTTTGTTAATTTTTAAATGATGGTCATTTATGCTGGCAGAAATGTCAGAGTGATGTATACGGCATCTCTGACAGAGCCACAACACAATGTAGCCATGCCAAGAGAAAACTGTGGGTTCTCGAAGGTAACTAAAGGAGTGTGACGGCTCTAGAACTCTGGTGCTGTATGTGTGTGCGTGTCCTGGTACAGTGTATGTGTTAAGTCCAGCATTACCACTTATAAATATGTTTAAGTATAATTATAAGTTGCCTGCTTTAACCTCCTCACCTGCTTGCTATCACTAACAGGGCAGGGGCTGAGCTTCATTGCACATCAGTACACACTGACATAATTAAAAGTAAAAGTAAAAAGAACAAAACAAGCAATAATAAAAGTAACATTTAAGGAAATAAAACCAGTCTTCCCAAAAGTAATAAACTATTTTCTGCTACCAGATCACATGCCAGTAACGACAAGACAGAAAAAGAAAACCCAAAATACTGTATATCAATCTACTTGATATAGATTGATATACAGTTGTCGGTATATCCTACAGACAACCAGCCACCTTCAACCCTTCAGGGTAAAAGGTCAGTTGTTCCTGCCTTGTCTTTCCTGTACGCTAGAATGGATTGAGGTAGGAATCAGCTGCACTCAACCAACCTGAATCAACATTATAACCTGCCCTCTACAGGTGCAGTAGCCCTGAATCTACAGAGCTCACTAACTGGTGCACCTTCCCTTATTTTACACAGTGCCACTTCCACACTATAGTGTTTCAAATAGGAGTGAAACTGCAATTGGTCCAGATTATTCAGTCAGGCATAATTCAGGTAGCTCTGTTGCTGTTGTGTCTTGGGTCCTGGGTCGTTGGCTGTGGTTGGCACATTTTGGAATCCTCATTCTGAGATGAGACATCAGCTGTTTCACTATAGTCATGTGTTTAGTTCAATAGGACATACAAGACGTAATTTTCCGACTTCCTCATGACGTCATTGAACATATGACATCATGGTAACCTTCTGATTAGTGGACGACCCACTCTACCTCCTGAGCCACAGCCACCCAATCATCATCATATGGGGAATCATTTTCTGATCAATTTAAGCTTTTTAAATTCTCTCTCTATATATCTTGGAAATTGTGTTTTTCAGACTCTGTTTCTGTTGACCTTGATTTTGACTTTAACCATTGTGCTCCAATAGGTAATCATCTGGAGATAGACAACAGCATTTATCCATCCACAGATACCTGGAGCCCTTCCTCAGCTCACCCTGATGGCAGTCACAGTAAGCCCAGCCAATGGCACCAGAGCTCTGTCTGAAGAAACACCAGGGGTTGGGCTCTTGGTCTGGGTTCCGACATAAATTGTGGTCTCCCAGGCCTCGGTTCGGGTACTGGTGCATGTAGTCTGGGAAGTCTGTCCACTTCAGACAGGGGGAGCCCGAATCAGTGTGGGATACTGAACCATTGTAGTATCCCAGTTCTTCAAAGCCTTGTGAACAGGAGAGTGGTGCTGTAGAAAAAGACCATCACACAGTCATAAAGTCTTTATTTACTTTATCACACTCCAAAAAGAATAAGCTTTGAGTTACAAAAACATAATTAATTAAAAATAAACAAGACAAATCTAGATACCTGATGCCCAAAGGAAAAACAGAATGATGTTATTGATGGAATAAGAGTAATTAATATAGTATGTTTGTTAGGAGCTCTGTTTTAAAACCAGAGGGAACACATGGAAAGTCAAGAGCAGCACAACCATTCAACTGACCTATACAAATATAATCTATTTCTTCTATTATTTGTCATGGACTCTTCTGTTCCTGTCAGGATCCTTTACAATGATTCTAGAGATCTGAGTGGTCTAGTTAGTCTACTCATTCCTTTCATTCATTCAAGCGATTTGTTTGTGCATAAATCCTAATCCTGCCCTCAATTCTGAGTTTGCTACTCACACCTGCCTGGATTTCCTACCTTTGTCCCAATGACCCACTCACCTTTGTGTTAAGGGCTAATTTTTGTTGTGCTGCGTAAAAAAAGAGACACACATAGTGTCTCATATTGGATTATCAACTACAAATTCCTTTCAAATCTCATAGCAGGCCTCTCTTGGAAAGTAATTCTTCACCTTCCATCATTAATGATATCCTGTGATGTACAATAATGAAATGTTCTGAATAGGGTTATTCTAATTAATTCCTATTTTGCTTTTGATATTACATTTTGGTGATGATACCAAGCACATTTTTAGTGCATGACATATGACACTTAATACCTGTTTTTTTTTTGTTTTACTATTGCTGGAATTTAAGTTTAACTGTGTAGTTAAAAGTGTTTGGTAAAACAAGTTCTGGAGCTGAAGTACATATAAACTTCATCTGGTTGGCAGATGGTGGTTTAACAAGACAGTTATGGAGCTGAAATGCAGGGAAGACACATAATGGCAACCAGAAGTACTGCAAACTGTAAAACTGATCTATAAAACAGTTTCCTGGGAATGTGACTGTCTTACACACAAAAAACTACTTTGATGTACACAGAATCAAACACTCAGTTACTCAACATAATCATGTTTGGATTCTTGCCAACACTTTTGCCAAGCAGGAAAGTACTCAGTGAAATCATCCATTCTTCAGGCACTAAAGAGGAGACCATAGTCGTGAAGCCTCATTGCCATAAGACATGAGGGAGGAAAAGCAGTTACTCTACAGGGTTTCACTGCTGTGCTATAGGTGTGCAAAGATTTACAGGGTCCTGCTGGTGGTGGGGGTAGAAAAGTAAACCACACTGGATCACATGATGTGGCTGAAGGGGGAGAGAGCAGGAAGCGTGAATGTGAGCCTGCAGGCTGCAAACTGGATTAGACATTCTGATTAAGTTATAGGATATTAGTATTTATGGATTGACAGGTGGAATAACAGGAACACTCTCACTGTTAGTATCCAAAATACCTCTCAACCAGTGACAAACATATTCACAGGTTTGTCTAAATGCATACCTATTAAATGGTTCGCAACATTCAATCTAATTGACGTAGTAATGACACACACAGGCACAGAGTTAAAGATTTTGCGATAACCCATACCTGCACGCTGGATAAAGTTCAAGAATCCCTCATCAGAGACCTGTTGAATAAATCAAACATCATGGTATTAATATAGTTTGAAGACAGGCTTCATAATAAGAATGCAGAGGAGTTATCAAACGATACACACGCACCAGCACTGCAATGCTTTTACGTTGTCTTTATCCCCCATCACACCTCCTTTGAATGTTTAGCTGTAAAACTCACAGGCCCCAAACCCACTATCATTGTGATCATCTATAGGCCACCAAAACCCTCTGCTGTTTTTCCTCACAGAATTCTCATCACTACTAACATCTGTATGTGCAATGTCCCCCACTGTTATCCTCCTCGGCGATTTCAACATCCACATTGACAACCCATCCAGTATCTTTGCTAAAGACTTCACATCACTCCTGGACTGTCTTGGTATCACACAACATGTCAACCTCCCAACCCATAACAAAGGTCATATACTGGACTTAATCTACTGTACTGACATCACTCCCACTAACCTTGATGTCACTGATTACCCAATCTCTGACCACAAAGCTGTACTATTTGACATTCACACCCAACTACACAAAGCCAAAGAACAACGGACCATCTCCTTCAGAAACATCAAACATATCAACACCACAGATCTCTCCACCCTGATCAGCTCCTACCCCAGCCCTCCCCCAGCATCCTCCCCGGCTGACCTGGTGACTTACTATAATAACTGCCTCTCCTCTTCCCTTACCACCCTGGCCCCCCTGAAAACCCGCTCAGTCTCATTTACTCACATTGCTCCCTGGTTCACCCCTGAGCTCTGCCAGCTCAAAGCCACTGGCCGTCGACTGGAGCAACTCTACAAAAAGACTGGACTCACTGTACACAGCCAAATGTACTCGGACCACCTCCATCAATACAAGAATGCCTTCACCACTGCCAAATCTTCATACTTCTCCAACCTCATCAACACTGGTACAAGTAACAACAGAGTCCTCTTCTCAACAGTTAGCCACATACTTCAGCCCCCTAAAAACCTCCCTTCAGACATTTCTACCGATCAGTGCACTGCCTTCCTGGACTTCCTCAGCTCTAAAATCAACACCATTCACCAACAACTGGCCTCATCTTGCACCTCCTCAAACGACCCACCCTGTACAATAACCATTGGCCAACCTCTCATCAGCTCCCTCTCCGACTTCATCCCAGTATCAGAGCACACCATCTCGGAACTCATCCTAAAAGCCAAAACGACCACCTGTCAGCTCGATCCTATTCCCACATCCCTTGTCAAAACCTGTCTGCCGTCCATTTCCCCCATGATCACCAACATAATTAACTCCTCCCTCATCACTGGTACTGTACCCCCCACTCTCAAACTGGCTGCCATCACACCCATCCTGAAAAAACCCAGTGCTGACCCAGCTGTCCTTAACCATACCAGCCCATCTCCAATCTCCCCTTCATCTCCAAAACACTTTAAAAGGGTGGTTGCCGCACAATTACAGTCCCACCTCGACACAAACAACCTCAATGAACCCTTCCAATCCGGCTTCTGTCCAAAACATAGCACTGAAACAGCCCTGGTCACCAACTACCTCCTCTGTGCAGCTGACTCTGGACTACTCACTATTCTCATCCTCCTCGACCTCAGCGCAGCGTTCGACACCATCTCCCAACCTCTGCTCCTGGACCGCCTGGCTGGCATTGGGATCACTGGTGCTGCACTCTCCTGGTTCACATCTCACCTTACTGACCGCCAACAATTCGTGCAACTAAGGAACCACAAGTCTGGGTGTTCAGGTGTTTCACTGGGTGTCCCCCAGGGGTCAGTCTTGGGTCCACTTCTTTTCACCATCTACCTCCTCCCCCTGGGCTCACTCCTTCGTCACCATGGGGTCCATTTTCACTGCTACGCCGATGACACACAGGTCTACATCTCTTCCAAACCCACTGCTGCCATCCCTCACACCTCCCTCATCACTTGCCTTGATGACATCCGGAGCTGGATGACCAGAAACTTTCTGAAACTGAACAGCAATAAAACCGAGGCCCTGCTCATCGGCTCCCAATCCATCCTCACCAAATCACAACGCACCCCAGCTCTACCCATCATCGTTGACGGATTCCCTGTACCCTTCTCCCCCCAAGTCAAGAGCCTCTGCGTCATTCTGGACCCCACCCTTTCATTTGCACCCCATATTCAAAACATCACTCGGACTGCATTTTTCCACCTCCGCAACATTTCCAGACTCCGCCCATCACTGAGCCATCCAGCACCGAAATCCTGGTTCACTCATTTGTCACATCCCGCATCGATTACTGCATTGCCCTCCTCACCGGACTCCCCACCAAACTCATCAACAGACTACAAATCATTCAGAACTCGGCCGCCCAGATCATCACCGGTACCAAATCATGGGACCACATCACCCCTGTTCTCATCCAACTCCACTGGCTCCCTGTACAATACCGCATCCACTACAAAAACCTTCTCCTCACCTACAAAGCTCCCCACAACCTAGCCCCCACTTACTCTGTGACCTCCTTCATGAATATACTCCCTCCCGGACCCTCCGCTCAACCTCTGCTGGACTGCTAACCGTCCCCAGGTCAAAACTCAGTACCATGGGTGCCAGAGCCTTCAGCTGCTTAGCACCCAGGCTCTGGAACTCCCTCCCCCACACATAACACAGTCAGACTCCATCACATCATTCAAGTCCCAACTCAAAACGCACCTGTTTAAACTGGCATACTCCCTATAACCGGACACTGTGCAAAACACTTGTTTTTATGTTGATGTTTTCTTTTTAACGTTGTTTATGATCATTTAATCTTTAATTTTCTTTGTAAGGCAACCTTGGGTGACTTGAAAGGCGCCTCCAAATAAAATGTATTATTATGCCATTAACCCAACTTTCATCTAAGGAACTCAGGAACAAAGAGCCCATATCATGTAAGTTTACTTCCTCTTAAATGTGTTAATCTGCTGATGTGAGCTACTCCTGAACTATATTCCGTTTCTTTCACAAAGCTGATTTGCCAGTCCTCAATGCTCTCTTCACTCTTTTTATATTTATCTATTTGTAGGAATCCATTCATTAACCACTGCCAGGCCAGAGGATGTATAGAGTCTCTCCAGTGTGTTTTCAGTCGGCCCATGGGGCTGTTAAGAGAGAGAGCTGTTAAACTGTGGTGATTCACTTTCACACTTATCTACAGTGACGATATAAATTAAAATGAAAGCAGACTTTGACCTGCTGATACGCAAACAGACCTGGACATTGTGTTTTCTTTGTACTGCAGCACCTTGGATAAAGGAACCATGACTCTGAGCTTTACTTTGAATTTGTTGAATTTAATGCTTTTCCTTCCAGCACTGTGATGTATTTCTTGAGAGGGTTCAGACTCTATGACATAAGTAGCAATCTTAAGTTCCTGTCCTATCAAACTATCTTAGAGAATCTTCTTAGTAATTCGCTACAGTTTTAAGTATTGTATGGTAATTTGACAACACAGTTAAAGTCTTAGCTTGTACGCCTGATTCAAACGGTCATGAAGATCATAGGAAAAAGAGATCAGCTCTATCTTCAATCATTATATAAAAAATCTGTGCTTAGAGAGGCACATAAGATTCTGAGAGATCCCACACACACACACCCTGTACATAGAATATAAGATGTTGCCCTCAGGCCGATGGTTCAGGATGCCACACTGCAGACTCAACCCGTACAAGAATTATTTTATTCCATCCTCCATCAAGATACTAAATAACAAGTAGGTGTACTTTGGGATGTATTTATCTCTATCCATTTATCTACCTATGTTTTTATATTGACTACTGTCCTCATATTATATGGTCTAACCACTGAGACCACTAACTACACCCAACGTTTAAATGTAAGCATGTTTTACACGTCTGATGTAGGATGTACTGTATGTGTAGGGTGCTACAGTTACGATGTATGTACTTCTGTATGTGTATCGGACACATACATACACACATACATACATACACTCATACTCTAACTTGAGGGTCATTTATATATATTTTAAAGTATAAATTGAAAATCACAGGTTGATCCAAATTGCGTGAATTTCATCACCGCAACTCATATTTGACTCAGTAGTGTATATGGCCTCCTTATGCCTGTATGCACTTCCAACAATGTCTGTGCATGCTCCTGATGAGTCGGCGGATAGTGTCCTGGGGGATCTCCCCTCCCAGACTTGGATCAGGGCATCAGTGAGTTTCTGGACAGTCTGTGGAGGTACTTGGCAGAAAGAGGGTCCAGGGCCCACTGCACCAGTGTAAGATCTGACAATCGCTCATCCTGGTAACAGCAGTCAGGGTACTGTTGGCTATGACATGGAGGTCTTTGCAAACCTTCAAGGATCTGCCTCCTCAGACCATCACCCAGAACCAAACCAGTCAAGCTGGATGATGTTACAGGCAGCATGACATTCACCACAGCTTCTCCAGACTCGTTAACACCTGTCACATGTGCTCAGTGTGAACCTGCTCTCATCTGTGAAGAGAATGGGGCACCAATTCTGGTGTTATCTGGTGAATGTCAGTCAAACTGCATGGTGCTGGGCTGTGAGCACAGGTCCCACTAGAAGACGTCAGGCCCTGATGGAGTCTTCTTCTGACAGTTTGGTCAGAAACATGCACACCAGTAGCCTGCTGGAGTTCATTATTTAAGGCTCTGGTAGTGCTCCTCCTGTTCCTCCTCACACAAAGGAGCAGATACCAGTCGATGTCCTTCTACAGTCCTGTCCAGCTCTCCTTGTGTAACAGCCAGTCTCCTGGTATCTCCTCCATGCCATTGAGGCTGTGCTGGGAGACACAGCAAAGGAGCTGGACTACCTGTGCAACCTGATTGGGCTGCAGGTCCCGCCTCTTGCTACCAGTAGTGACAAGAACACTGGCAGAACACAAAACTAAGGAAGAATCAGTCAGGAAGGATAAGGAGAGAGCAATTGTCTGTGGCCACCACATACAAAACCATTTCCTTGTTAGGGGTTGTCATGCTTTTGCTTCTCCATTGCACCTATGGACAGACTGATATCCCTGAAGTTTAACTGACTTGGTGTTATACTGAGATGATTAAGTGTTCCCTTATCAAATATTCTGAAATATTTTAATTAGTGTGTTTTTGCTCAGCACAGGTTGTTCGGCAAACTCTAAGGTGATCCATTTTCATTTGTGGTAAATGATTTGGTAAAATAATTTCATCAAGGAGATAAAGGTCAAGGGCGAGATGACACAATTGTTCTAAGCATTCCTAATGTTCTGTCCTTCTTTATTAGGCTATAGCTGCAATAGCTTAGGTCTAAAGTTCCCACATCTTTTCTTTGACTGCAATGTCTAAACAGACATGCACTTTTCTATATACAGGATCCTGGAAAGAAGCAGTCTGGTAAAATGGAGACAGTGCGAAGCACCGACTGAAATACCTTATAGTCCTGGAGTGTACAGCAGCTCTGTTGAACATGTACAGCTGTGAAATGATTATATATATATATATCTGTGTATGTGTGTGTGTGTGTGTGTGTGTGTGTGTGTGTGTGTGTGTG